AGAGATAGTGGTCACGTAGAATTAGTAATATGGGAAAATGGAATGTTCCGTTTCAGTAGTTAGTATTTAAGGTTTGTTTTGTAATGTAGGGAATTTACTTTTCTTTTCGCTATCGCTTGCCTGTGAAGGCTGGCTCTATCGCCCCTCCTGCCCTCCCGTTGCTGAATATTCAATGGCTTGGCGTGGTGTGCCATCACCTTCCAGTGGTTAAGACTGATAGTTATAGGCTCCACGGCTGCAGTGGCAGTGCAAGGACCTGTTGTTAGTTTCGGCTCCGCGGCTGCAATAGCAGTGCAAGGACCCTTTTGTAGTGCGGCTCCGCGGCTGTAATAACAGTGCAAGGACCGCCATTGACTGGCTCTGCGGCTGCAGTAGCAGTGCAAGGACCAACACGAATGTTATGTATATATGAGTTATATTTTTCCTTATAAAACATTAGAGTTTATATGTACGATTCTCTTGATAGCTATACGAGTTATCTCGTTCGCACCCTTTACATTTTCGTTGATGTTTCGGAGTCAAGGACCTCTCTAGTTTGTATATCAGCCATAAGATAGTGCAGTAGGATAGCGGACCCTATTCCCATATGTTTTCAGCTTTGTTTTTTTTTTTTCTTTCAATAAAGTCATCTGATCAAGCAATAATAAATGCCAAAAATTACAATTACATGAAAATCCAATTTACCGAATCTTACGCAAAAATTACATAAATTACGTAAAATTATGGTAATTTCACAACCCTAATTACATGAAACTAATTTCTGAAAACTCGTGTGGGTAGATTTTTTTTTTATTTATTTGAGTGTGTGATGTTGCGAATTTGCCGGTATTAAACATTAAAAATATAATAAAATTGAATTGTATAGATAATATGAGTGGTTGATTGTCTTTGAAGTTATCCCTTGCACCGTCAGGCTAATCCGCAGTAAATATAAAGTCCTACGTGGCTTAAAAGATAAAATTTAAAACACAATAAATAAAACATAATAAATAATTATTACATACCAAAAAAAGCATTATTACCCAATAAATAGTTACGAAAATAATAATCATATAAATCTAAGCCAACGTCGGAATTTAAACTCTCAATGTTGTACAAAAAATTCGCAGGCAAATTTGCCTGCAAGACGGTGTAAGGGATAAGTTGCTTATGAACTGTCATGAAACTACTTATAAAAACATGATAAAATCAAGATAAAATCAAGCATTTTGTTTGTATTTAATTGGTTAATTGTATATTTATTAATATTTTGAGATAGTGACGCTGCTCAATGTATGGGTGATTATTTTTGAATCCAGACCAAAATACTATCGCGTTATATATATAAAATTGGTCCGGATTCAGAAATAATTATCGTGTTATATAAGGACCGGGAAATCTTTATTATAGGTCACCGCCACAACAATATTCGAATACTATTATAAATTTAAAAAATGTGATTGACTTTAAATAGATTCGAATTATTATAAAGTCTTGTGAAGTCATCGGCTTTGTATGATTCGCAGAAAAATTAGTCACCGCTTATAAATAGATTCGCATATATAGATTACCAAAAAAGGTACTAGTCACAGTCTGATTCGCATCATTATAATTTTAGATATGCATGATTATCAATTTATTTTATCACTATTACGTATTAAATATCTAAACTTTTTTAATATTACGTAATAATGTTTTCTACGTAGTATTTAATTCGCAAGTAATCTTGCACTATTATTTTTATAAAATTTAACAAGTTGGTAATTTTCAAGAATAAAATAACTGTGAATAGTGCTACCAAATAGTATAAGCACAGAAAAAAGAAAATTACATTTGAATGATTAAAATTTTTAAAAAAATCATTTTGAACATGTCTAGCGCAATAATATAGAAGTAGTATTTTTGAATTAAAAGCTATAACTTAAAGAACTTTAAAAGATAATTTTTTTTATAATTCAACACTTATTTTTTAACTATCATTCTAATTATATTAATGCATATTTGAATATTCAATCTAAAAGTTTTACAGTTTCATATTATTAAATAATATTATTAAATAAGATTTTTATATGTATATAAGAAATTTTAATGTATAAAAGAAACTATTCTAAATTAAGATTAGCTTTAAAACACAAATATAAGCTAACGCAAAAAAATTTTTTTGATAATCTATCTTTTTTTTTTAATAAAAAAATGTCTCTTCCTTACGATTCACGCCAAAATCGGTTTACTTCTTTTTCTAATTTTCAAAAATTTATTGATACAAAAACAGTTCTTTGTAAATGTGGTACAATTATTTCACTTGGTAATATTTACCAAATTTCTAATTTTCAAAGACATTCGCAAAGTAGTGATTGTACATATAGTACAAATAATCAACCAAGTATAAAAGTTTTCTTTTCAAAAAGTGAATCAGAAAATACCAATAATAATGAAATAAAGGAAACAAATAGTAAATGACATATTATTATGTATCAAGGTCTTAATGATTCAGAATATATTAATTATATTATAAGTAGTCCAGCTAGTTTTGGTGGCGGTAAAAGACCTGAAGTTATAGCAAAAGAACTTTTTCCAGAAAAATTTTCAGAAAATGCTTCTTTTACTAGAAAAAAACTTAGTAATAAAGAGCGAAGAGAATTTGAAAGAGTATTAGAATCTGAAGCAACTTGGCACTTGGATAAAGAAGTTTTAGCAGTATATTATATGCAATGTAAAAGAAAAACAAGTAATGAGGATGCTGTATGTAATAGGTGTAAAGAATTAAGATCTAATAAACGTTTAAATGAAGCACTTAAAGCTGTAAGTTTAATATAAATTTGGTTTATTAAATTATTTTAATAGAATTTTTAAAAACTAAAAACATTTATTATTTAAGAAACGGGCAACAAGTAGTACTATTAAATTTACTCCTCATCATTATTATAATGAACCATTATTAAAACTTCTTAAAAATCTGA